GATTTAATGTAAACATTCTCGTTGTAAGGAAAGTACCAGGAGGTTCTATTCCCACCTACACCTGTGTAAAACATTGTATAATATTCATTCTTCAGTGGCAATATTCTAAAAGTCCACAAAATGAGAATGTTAATTCATGAAAGTTTCTCTGTATTTCTTGCCTCTTACCTTGTCTTCCTCTCAGCTACTGCTGTTTCTCCCCTATTCCCAAAGTAAGTGTTAGAACCCAGAGTCTTTTGTTGTTGTTGCTGGGTAGTGTTATTCCCATTGCCTGTGCCTACTTTTAAAAATGAATGCAGTCCCTCTTCCGAAAAGCTTATACCCTAGCTTTTATTAATAGTTAGCAAACCTTGTTGATACATGTTAAATTGATGCAATTTCCAATAGTAGAATTGAGTGCATTTGGATATAAAAGTAGTAAAACATTTTTTTTTTACCTTTCCAGGATCAGTCAGACTATGTTCTTCATTATTCTGAGTAATAGTTTTTACTGTAATTGGACTAGGGCATGGGTTTTAGTTATACTTATGTTTTCAGTTCACTGATATGAAAACATTGGTTAGCGATGCACATAATTGTCCTCATGTTAACTAAGGGGTGGTGTGTATATGCAAGGAGTTGTTTGTCTGCTGTCTGCATCGTCCCTGTGAAGTACAGCAAAGGGAGAGAAGCCTTTGGTCCTTTGGAGCCTGCGAGGCCCAGGCTTGTTTGTGGAGTCGGAGCTATGCCCAGTTCTCCCCACAGAGGTCTCCCTCTGCCTAATTTCTGACTTGGAGCTGGGCCCCAAACCCAGGGCAGGAACTTTCCTGCTGAACTGGACAGCTCTAATGGCTTAATGTAAATTGGAACATGTGTCATTAAGATTAGGATGCCAGATGGCTGAGGGTTCAGCTGCCTGCCAGGGTAAGGGGGTGGAGCCAGAAAAATGAAAGTGGGGGGAGGGGAAGGGAATGGATACAACTCCTGTTATTTTTAAATCACTCACAGAAATATATAGCATCAGCCGGCTTCCTCCCTATCCCAGTAGTATTTTTTTTTCTCTCTCAGCTTAATCCTCCTCCCTGGGGCTTACACTGGGAGAAAAATATCAGTGTTCTTTATTAGTTGCCCCAGCAACCATGGAAAGCCTGGGAGAGTGATTGTAAGACAAGCTTGAAGGTTCAGTCCCTTCTTGGTATCTGCAGAGTCTGAGAACCATTCTGATCTGTAATTGCCCGCAACCTGGGTTCTGAAGCTGCCTGAGTACCTCCAGCTCATGGGCAGGGGAACAGGGAATTCATGAAATTATAAAAATATGAGATTGGCTTTAAATTTTTTTTTTTTTTTTTTTGAGGAATAAAACACTTGTAGGCCATACTTTGATAATGAATGGGACTGTGTCATGAATGAAAAGAATTAACAAGTCAAAAACAGGTCTTTCTGATTTAGAGGGATGTAAACTAAAACATGCTTCCACCTTGAGCAATAAATAAGTGCTGACCAGTTCATTTTATCTTCATCCGAAAGTCAGGCCTGCGCAGTGACCTTTGAGCTGGAAGAAGCTAAGGGGAGGAAGTTGATGCTTTCGGAGGACATGTAGCTTATTGTACGTGTTTGTCAGAAGCTGATGTGAGGAGAGGGGGTTGCTTCCTGGAAGACCTTTATAATTTAAGGCAGTGATAGCGAGATTGCCAGGGTAGTTGGGAGGCCTTGCCCCAAATTGCTGACCCTGCTTTCCCCATTGATCCAAGTTTTAAAGCCCAGAGAAGAGGCTTTGGGAAGGTTCCTACCCTTTAATGCTCATGTCTTTGATTAATTGGCCCTCTATCCTAATCTTCCCCCCCCCATGAGTTTATATTTGTAGCCTTTTCAACTTATAAAGCAGAAAAATCATAATTTATTAGCAAATCAACTTAATTTGATTTCCATCCTCTGGAAACACTGGGGATACTAGTGTTTTTCTCTGGGCTCTGAACTTTCTCTTTGGACAAAGTTCTGTTTAGTTTGTCTTACCACCAGCCAGGTTTAAACTCTAGAGAGACTGTTGGGTACTCCTTTAAAAAAGCTGCCTTGGCTGGGTGCGGTGGCTCACGCCTGTAATCCTAACACTCTGGGAGACTGAGGTGGGCGGATCGCTCAAGGTCAAGAGTTGGAGACCAGCCTAAGCAAGAATGAGACCCTGTCTCTACTAAAAATAGAAAGAAATTAATTGACCAACTAAAAATATATGTACAAAAAATTAGCCAGGCATAGTGGCACGTGCCTGTAGTCCCAGCTACTTGGGAGGCTGAGGCAGGAGGATCGCTTGAGCCCAGGAGATTGAGGTTGCTGTGAGCTAGGCTGATGCCACAGCACTCACTCTAGCCTGGGCAACAAAACAAGACTCTGTCTCAAAAAAAAAAAAAAAAAGCTGCCTTAACCCTCCAAGTTCTCTTGTGAGACACATCGATTTATTTTGTAAGAATTAAATTTGTGAGTGTGGTTGTTATCTAGTAATGGGGAAAGGGAAAGAAATCTCTTTAGGAATTTATCAGAAGTCCAACTAAAAGTTAGCTCGCCTCTGGGGCAGAAGCGTAGGAATACTACAGAGTCTATTCTGGCTTCCAGTATTAGGCTTCTGTGCCAATGTAAGGCTTTGTTTTCTTTTGTAAAGACCTGGATAGGTCAGAATTGCTGGAGCGTTCCAGTGAAGTCATCTGCCATAAACTTTGAGATGGGCAGAAGGCAGATTCCCTAACATTTCTTCCCTGTGAGATCTGGCTGGTCTTTCTGGAGCTGAGGAGGACTCTTGTTAACTCTGGCCTGAGAGACGTTGGAGGACGTAAGATTTGAGGCCATGGTTTAAAACAATGTTGGCTAAACAGCAACATGTTGCTTTTTAGCAATAGTAGCCTTCAGGCCCTAATTACTTCTTAATGTTTTCAATGTAACCATCGATTTGATTTTTATAGTATGTTCGTTTTAAAGAAAGAATGGTCATGTTATTAAATAATTAGTGGTATGTTATAAAAGCGGTGTTTACATCTTGCTGGCATACTGCCAGCTCTTATCACTGGGGCTGCTCACATTATTTGGGAATAATTTCTTCATTAATTCCTTCTTCACCAACAAGTCTGTCTGATTTTCCTCAAAAATATAAGAGGAATATCCCAGCTTTGGTTGGGAGCATTTAGACGGAGAATGAGGTGGGCAGTGTTGGCATGTTCCATGCATACCCAAGCCTTTGTGCTCTTAATCTCCCTTGGAAAGAGGCCCAGAATTCAAAGCAGGAGGGCACTAAACATTGCGAGCTTTGTTTCAATGTGACGTTTGTGTCTTGAGAACCCAAGAAATGCTATGTTGGCAGAGGCTGGGGTCCTGTCTAGCCCCGCATTCTGTCTCTGACAATGGGCACCAAAGCATGTTTTATGGGAAAACATTCTTCATACTGGCAGCCTCATGGGCTTTGTGATGTATCTTTGCCTTCCTATAATAGTCCATGGTGGACATATTATCCAGGAACTTTTTAAAAACCCTCCTTGAACCTATTCATATGTGCCAGCTCTTAGGGTGACAAATTCCAGAAGTCAGCAAATATTTGAATGCTTAGTGTATGCCTAGCACAGTACTAAGCATTGTAGAAGACAGAAGTGATGCTTAATAACTGATCTGTATTCTTGCTTGAGCTTTTACTGTTTAAAGGAGCCAAGACTTAGTTGTAGTTGTAGAAAAGGGTGTGGGCAGTGATATCAGATGTCATCTGGAGAACACCAAGCACATCACAAGTAGATCAAACTCACAGTAACAGAGTTCACAGAGACTAATGTCTAAAAACAGAATGCCATATAATTAATAATCTGTGTTGAAAAATACAACTATCAGATTCAACACTGTTATCTATGTGCACATCAATGGAAAGCCAAATTGTAATCAGAAGGCTGATTAGTGAAGAGGAGAGCTTTAGTCATTGTGATTGCATCATTGAAGATGACAGCCCATAGCAGCCATTTGCATAATGCCTAGGAAAAGACCACATGTTTGTTTTTCTGAAGTATCTTGTGCTAAACCTAGTTGAACTTTTTCATGTGCTAATACATTCAGCCCTAACATCCTGCCCTGTTTCCCAAGTGCCTTTGCATATCTCTGCTCTGTCCATATTAGGTGGTTAAGAGTTTAATGCTTGAAGATAATTGTTCTTTCTTAAATATTTTGAGAGGAGGAATCTATATTAAATATTGATTCCTCCGCATCATGTACCTCCTACATATGCAGCAAACAATACAAAATAGTGTAGGATGAAGTGCTAAATGATATATTCTAAACATCATGAGCCAGAAAAACAAATCAGAGAATAGAGAGGTCAGTGTGGGCTGAAAATGCTGAAGAGGGCATCTGTGTGTGACACAGATGGGACTTGAATTCATATTTGAAAAAGTAGAAAATTAGGGAAAAGAAGATAAGAAAACATGAATTAGGAGTAAACCCAGGGAGGAATGTTTTCACCATTTGGTTGCCACCCTCCTTCTCAATGACACTTAGCTTTGACCTTTCTGACCAAAGAAATATGAAGCAGTATGGGGCAGTGGAAAGCCTGGTAAATCCTGAGTCTCCTACTTAGGATCTGTCATTTGTAGTTGCTGGGTGCCAATGTGCACATTTGTAAAATGGAAATAGCACCCTCTACCTTGTCGTTCTGTTGTTGTGAGGATTAAAGGGGAGAATATATATGAACATTCCTGGTGCCTCGTAAGCACTCAGTAAATATTAGCTGAATTTAAATTGAGTAGATTTCTTTGGGAAGAAATTTATACTGATTTACAGATTGCCAAGTTCCCTGGGATTCCCATGGTGGTTGATGGATCCAGTTTAGAGGTAATAGCATGGCGGCTTTACATGTAAGCTTCGGCATATAGTGTCACAGGCTTCTGTGTTGTGCCCTTTGGGCTACTGTAGTTTTTCTTAAATGATCCTATTCAGCTTTCAAAATCTTTGCAATGTTGTTGCCAAATATTTCAGTACCAATATAATTATCTTCCTTGTAGGTGCGGAATGGCCACATCAAAAGAATCACTGATAACGACATCCAGTCCCTGGTGCTAGAGATTGAAGGGACAAATGTCAGGTAGGTTGCCAAATCTGTTCTCCCAGAGACATCATATACCAGGAAGGCAGTATATCATAAAAGTTAATAGGACAAACTGCCAAGTCAGACTGCCTGAGTGAATCCAGCTCTGCTACTTGGAGCTTATGTTATTTAATCCCCCAGGCCTTCATATCCTCATCTGTAAAATGGGGAGAATGATAGTGTATTTTCCATATAGGGTTATTGTGGGATTAAATAAGTGAATATGTATAAAACACTTAGAACCATGCTTAGCTCATAGTAAGCACTATGTATTAGCTATGTTATTACTGTTTAACCAAAGTGTGTGTTGGGAGGCATGGGTGGGGTTATACTGATCGTCCAGTGGGTGGCCAATGTGGTGTTCAGTGCCACAGTGGTCTTTGTTTTGGTTTTCTAAAATTTGGTGATACTCTTGGACCAGAATTGAAGTCTTCTCTCACTGGAAGAACTTCCTAAGATCCACTGATCTGGCTCTGTTTTTCAGATGTTTTATTATTGTTAAGCTTTTGTTTCTGAGTCCAGCATTTTTTAAAGCATCAGCTGACTCAAGGGTTGGGGTACTCATTGGATTACATATCCAAATCTTTTAGATCTGCTTTCCAGTTTATCCTCTTGGACCATGTGTTATTGTTGAACATACCACAAAGGAAAAAAGACAAGTAGTATGTTTATTGGTATTTCCTCTCTCTACAGTACCACATATATCACATGTCCTGCAGACCCCAAGAAGACACTTGGAATTAAACTTCCTTTCCTCGTCATGATCATCAAAAACCTGAAGAAATATTTTACCTTCGAAGTACAGGTAAGTATGTGGACATAACTGTGTCCACTCTTGGCCAGACCAAAGAGATAGCTTTCAACTTACAGGGAAAAGTAGCCTTACAAAAGCATCTCTATCCTCATGTATGTATTATTTTCTGCCTCTACTATACGCTCTATGCAGTCCTTGTTACTATGACATAAATTTGTTATTAGTAATTAAAATTTAATGGCAGATTTTTGAAGAAACAAGTAAGCACCTAGAAAATCTAATAAATAGCTGTAAGATTCAAAACTTAAGGGTTAGCATAGAGTCCATTTGGGAGTAATTATTTAATATTGGGTCACCCTTCACTATTTTAGTATTTTTGATTTTTCAAAGGGAAGATTGTTTATGAAATCATTCTATGGCCTGAGAGCCTGCCGGGTGTGTCATATGTCATAACAGCTGGTGTTGCCTTGGCAACAAACAAGATAAACTGGCTACTTCCGGGCCATCTGCATCCAGTGTGTGACCTGTATCTGTGTGTTTATTCTCCCTTGGGTCTCAGCCTTGGGAAAGTAGGCTATGGGAGTTCAGGCCCTTGTCCTAACAAGGTTGTTTGCTTCTTCCGAGATGGAGTTAATGCTACTTTTCTATATTTCACAGGTACTAGATGACAAGAATGTGCGTCGACGATTTCGGGCAAGTAACTACCAGAGCACTACCCGGGTGAAACCCTTCATCTGTACCATGCCCATGCGGCTGGATGATGGCTGGAACCAAATTCAGTTCAACTTATCAGACTTCACCCGGCGAGCATACGGCACAAATTACATTGAGACCCTAAGAGTGCAGGTATCGCTCCTTTCCCAAATGGAACCCAAAATTGGGGGTGTAGGGGGTATCCACTATCCAATACTGGTTTGTGTTCCATATAGCAGAATAGTATGGATTTCTAGGCAAAGTTCCCAAGTCACTATCCAGGGAGCTTTGGCTTCAGAAAGGTCCAGAAAATATTCAGGAGTCTGCTCAGATATAGGGGTGAATACAGTAAGCAGAATCTCCCTCTTGTTAGACTCACCTGCTAAGCCAAGCCAAGGATATCTCAAAAGAGAATAAGCTTTTACAGTACAATGAGAGGGCCTGTCGATGAATCAGGAAAAGAGAGAAATCAGGCAAATGTTAGCCTCTCACAATAAGCCTTGCATCCACAGATCCATGCAAACTGTCGCATCCGACGGGTTTACTTCTCAGACAGACTTTACTCAGAAGACGAACTACCAGCGGAGTTCAAACTGTATCTCCCAGTTCAGAACAAGGCAAAGGTAAGCCGGCCTTCCCCAGAGGAAAGCCAGACAGTGAGCTGGGGGGAATTGTGCTTCTGCAAAGTGCTCTAGTCTAAGAGTTCAGCTACAGATGCTCTCTGTGTTGACACTTTGGGGCACCTCTATGTCATAAGATCCTAAGTTTTCTCTCAACATCGGCACTGAATCAGGAATGATCTGTGAAATGCTCTGTTATTGCTGTCTCCACCTTCACAAGGTGATCCTGCCCTTCCTCAGGACATCCTGCTGTTTCCTGCTCACAAACCTTTTTCAAAGAATATTCTCCATCTGAACCTCTTTATCATCCCCAAATTATCAGTGGATGGGTTCCCTCTAACACAATAGTGGATGCTTCCATGCCTGCCTGCTGTGGACATGTATGCATTCCCCGCAGCCTACTGTCCACTCAAGTGTCACCAGAGTTAGGGGGCTGGTGGCACTGACCATTTATTTTCTGAAAACTTAAACTGATGCCTGTTTTCTGTGTTTTTATTTTTTCCTCTTCCAGCAATAACTGGAATACAACTCAAGGGATAGACCCTGGATGTGACTCTTAGTTTTAAAAGGAAACTCTCTGGAGGACAATGCAAAAAGCATATTTATATTAGTTCACTCTGCTATAGTTCTTTTATTTACTCCTGGTGTCCTGTGTCGTGGACACCAGTGACCATGCCATATCTCTGCAGTTGCATTGTAAACACAGCGGGGGATAAGCAATCCTGTGAATGATACGTGAATGCTGGAGTTTACCCTGCTGCCTGCCCCAGAGTGTGGGGAGATAATATTTACCATGAACTTAACAGAATTAAAGATGTCCCATAAGGCAATTTCAGACCAATATTTCTTCCGATGGTTTATTCTTTGTTTTATATATTATCTAAATATATGTATATGCTGTGTAATACTCATAATCTGGAAATGAATAAAATGTTATATTCTTGGTTTGTAAATTTGTTCCTAGCTTATCTTTTTTAATGGTTTTGTTTCCTGTGATATGAAAATGGCATACATTTCATGCTCTGACATACCTTGCATTGAACATTTAAAGAATAAGACTGACTGGGCACTTGGCTCACGTGTGTAATTCTAACACTTTTTGGGAGGCCAAGGTGGAAGGATCACTTGAGGCCAGGAGTTCAACACCAGGCTGGGCAACATAGCAAGACTCCATTTCTAGAAAAATAAAAAAATTAGCCAGATGTCATGGTGCATACCTGTAGTCCCAGCTACTTGGAAGGCTGAGATGGGAGGATCACTTCAGTCCAGGAGTTTGAGGTTACAGTGATCTATGATCATGTCACTGCACTCCAGCCAGGGTAACAGAGCAAGGCCCTCTTAAGAAAAGAACAAGATCTATACAATTGACCCTTGAACAACGTGGGTTTGAACTATATAGGTTCACTTATATGCAGATTTTCTCCTGCCTCTGCCACCCCTGAAATAGCAAGAGCAGCCACTCCCCCTCCTCCTCCACCTCCGCCTGCTCAACATGGAGATGATGAGAATGAAGACCTTTATGATGATCCACTTCCACTTAATGAATAGTAAATATATTTTCTCTAATTTATGATTTCTTTTTTTTTTTTTGAGACACAGTCTGGCTCTGTTGCCTAGGCTAGAGTGCCATGGTGTGAGCCTAGTTCACAGCAACCTCAAAGTCCTGGGCTCAAGCAATCCTGCTGCCTCAGCCTCCCCAGTAGCTGGGACTAAAGGCATGCACCACCATGCCTGGCTAATTTTCATATATATATATTTTTTTTAGTTGTCCAGATAATTTCTTTCTATTTTTAGTAGAGATGGGGGGTCTCGCTCTTGCTCAGGCTGGTCTCGAACTCCTGACCTTAAGCAGTTCTCCCGCCTCGGCCTCCCAGAGTGCTAGATTTACAGGCGTGAGCCACCACGCCTGGCCTATGATTTCTTATTACCATTTTCTTTTCTCTAGCTTACTTCATTGTAAGAATATAGTATATAATATACATAACATACAAAATATCTTAATCAACTTTATCAGTAAAGCTTCCCGTCAACAGTAGGTTATTAGGAGTTAAGTTTTGGGAAGTCAAAAGTTCTTTACAGATTTTTGACTGCACAGGGGGTTGGCACTCCTAACCCATGCATTGTTCAAGGGTCTACTGTTTATACTGATTTGGAACAACTTTCAAGATACACTATTTTTACATTTAGTTTATCATCAGTAGAATCATCTTGCCAGGTAGGGGTTGGGTCCTAAGTTGACATATAGTCCAAACCGCTCTTAACCACCTTAGGAAGGTGTCATTTTCAAGCCCCACATGTTCTCTCATGGAGCAGATCACCATGTCCCTTGTTGAGTTCCGGATGCAGTCCTTGGCTTGAGTGTAGGAACTTTAAACACTAGAATATTGCATGAAGGAACTCAAACCTTACACCACTTTTCCCACTGGTGCTTATTCTGGGGCAGATGCCTGTTAAGTAGAATGACACTGGCACTGTTGCTTTTTTTTGGGGGGGGGGCAGGCACAAATAGTTAAATTTGTAAAAGTTAAGCCCTTACATGATGCAATTCTGTATGTAACATTTCTGGAGGGAAAGCAATTTGGGGGCAGAGAAGAGGTATGTGGATAGATACACCTATGCAATCTTGAAGGACACACAAGAACTCATACAGTGTTTACATCTGGGCAGAATTTTTTTTTATCACTTGTATATTTTTTTATACTATAAAAATAATGTTAGGGAAGAAGTAATATTTATGTAATAAAAATTTCAAAGTCAGTGAGGGAGCAAAAGGCCAGATACTGTTCTCTCCCCCAGACACTCCCCTTGGGTTTGGTTTCATTCCACAGAGATGAGACTGGAATTGTGGGCACCTGCCATTTTGACTTTGGTTGGAAGTGAAACCACCAAGTTCTGAGGTTTTTCACGACTCTTGCTTCCTGAGAAGTTGAGTGGCAAGAAGGACACGTCTGTCCATATCCTGCAGCGTGTGCTCTGGGTAAGCATGACCAAATCTCTGAGCAGGGTGTGGGCTATAGGACATGGAGGGGTGGAGGGAAGGGTGCTCCACCGCTACCTCATAGGACCCTCACTGAGTATTCATTTCTCCTCATGGTTCACAAGCGCCTGGCACTCAGGTGGACACAGTTAAGACAACTGTCCCCTTCTCTTCATGCTAACAAGCAGCCTGGAGCCACCTTCCCTGTGATGCTGTCCCTCTCCTTTGAGAGTCTCTAGTCATTCAGCATCATAGAGCACCTCTCAGCCCAGATGACAGAGCCTGCTCTGGCAGGGCCAACCCCCATGGAATGTGAGTGTTGTCCTGCTTCTCCGTCCTAACATTAGCGTTCACACTGTCGGGCTCCGTGCGCCTGTCTCCCTAGCTTTCTGGGTTACAGTAGGAATTCTCAGAAACGAGGGGGGGTGGCCAGTGACTTCAACAGAGCCTCTTGTCTCTGGCCACTGTGTAGTGAAATCTTCCCTCCAATCTGGAGGCTGTTGTGGAATGAAAGATGCTTTTGTGGTGGCAAGAAAACCCGGGTTAACTATTCACATCGTCTTGGTGCCAGGATATCAGTGAAGTGCTCCTGGAAGTTGGGAGAAAGACAGTGAGGCACTCTCCTCCACACAGAGCCCCTTTCACCCCGAGGCACTTGTCAGACTATGTATGGGGATTACCTCACCACCCTCTTTGGGGTGGCAGGGGCAGCTGCTGACTCCAGATGCCTCACATATCCAGCCCAGAGGAAGTGCGGGGGTGCTGAGGGCTGCAGGGTGTATTATCTAAGCTGGCTCCCGGCCAGGGTGAATAGTGGCATCAGTGACCACAGGGCCCCAGGAAAATGACAACTCCTTGTGAAGCTGAGGGAAAAAGGAAGGGCAGGACAGCTTGCTGGGGCTGGGGCCTCCCTCATGGAGCTTGGGCCAGGGGGATCTTGGATCATGGTAACTGGAGCAGGCACAGTTGTGTTACCCAGCTCCTTGGAAGTCCGTGTGTTTTAGAAGGAATCACTTTCTAAATAAGGGCACGGGAGTTAATTGGCTTGGGCGTGAAGGAATAGCATGCAGTGGCTCCCAGCAGGGCCCCTCCTGGAGAGCAGATTTACTATGGCCCTTACTTGCCACTGGCCTACTGACTGCCTCCTCCACAGCCAGGCTAGAAGACTGGCTGGTGCCACACCAGTCCCCTCCCGGGGCACTGAGGGACGCAAGTATGCCAGAGAACAACCCCCAGACTGATTTCCCTGGCACCTCAGTGGCTTTAGCTAAAAGGCTTACATGCCAGGAAATTCACTAAAAAAAGATCCTAGAGCTCTGTGTGCATCCCTGCCATCCTCAGGTTACTGATGACTCCGAAGCCCAGAGAGACCCAGAGAGAGGTGGGCTAGCCCCCTCTAATAGTTTTGACGTTGGGACAAGGACCCAGTTCACCTGATGGGAGTCATACGCCATCTCTGTCCTCCCTTGTATTGGTGTCCCCCGCCTCAAGGACTAGAGCCAACTCTGCCTTGGCGGTGAGAGCTGGCCTGGTTAGTCCCCAAGTGGTTGCATCTTAGCTGAACGCCAGGGCCTGAGGCTGAGGCTTAAAAGCTCATTTGTGTTTAATTAATGAATCATGAAAGTAATGCATGCTCGTGGTAAGTCCAAACTGACAAAGAATACGAAGTAAGACATAAGTCCTAGTTCCCATTTCTGAAATGAAACTATCTGAATGTATAAATAGAATATGGTTGCCCTTTCTTCCTGCACCTAGCCTTCCAGCATGAACAACCTGTTTAGTTTCCTGGTCACACTCATTTGTGCTTTCCCAGGAGCCTGGGAAGTCCTGGCACAGGGGGGGATTCTAAGGGAGACGGCACAGACGGCACCGCACGTTGGCGCAGTGCTGTCTGGGTGGCAGCGTGTTTTCATACCTGTTCCACGTGGCGCCGTGGGGATCCTGCAGCCCCACCCACAGACAAGCACAAGTTACAAGGCTCAGGTAGGCTGCATAGCTCCCATAAGCCAGGCCTGGGACTAAAGCCCAGCGCTTTCTGCTAGGAAGGCCAGCCCCCAGCTGCTCACCACGCATCTAGAATAGACTTGCTGGGGGACACAATGGAAAGTTCCTGCACCTTTCCCACAGGAAGATGAATCTGCCGAATTTTAATTCGCATTTTCAGATTATGTTGCTATGCTAGACCCTGGCTATATTTTAGCTGAGCTGCTGCATAGAGATTTGGATATGTACAAGTAGCCACCTTCAGTGGGAGGGTTCTAGACGAGAAATGGCGATGTGCTGTAGGGAAGAGAATATAGGATTTAGAGTTTACCAATTGTGTCATAACATTAGCAGCTAATACTTATTGAGAGCTTTCAGTGGGCCAGGAAATGTTTTAAGCACTTTACATGTATTACTTTACTATTTTCCCCACTTCATAGATGAAGAAACCAAGGTGCAGAGATTAATGTGCCCAAGGTCCCACAGGAGGTATCCCCAGTGATGGAAGCAGGTTTTAAGCTCAGGCTGTTTAACCCACTTAAATCACTCCACTGCTTTGGCCCACTGTTTCCTCCCCAACAAAATTAGCGTGAAACTCACCTCAGAGCTGCGCTGGAAGAGAAGTCCAAGGACAACAGACTATAGCAATTACGTTATCTTCACACAGTGGAATACTATACTGCAATGAAAAGGAATAAATGACAGATGCAATGACATAAAGAAACCTCATGATCAAAATGTAGAGGGAAAAAATTTAGGGATAAGTATGACTTCATTTATATAAAATTTTAAAATAGGCAAAACAATATATTGTCCTAGGATACAGGCAAGAGAGTGAGTATATTAAAATTAAGGGAGTGCTTTGCCTGAACGTGGGTGATGGGGGGGACACAAGCCATGACAGAGGCACTTCAGGAGGCTTCCAAGTATCTGCAGTGCCTTGTTTCTTTTTGTTGCTGTTGTTTTGTTTTGTTTCTTTGAGACAGAGTCTCACTTTGTTGCCCAGGCTAAAGTGAGTGCCGTAGCGTCAGCCTAGCTCACAGCAAACTCAATCTCCTGGGCTCAAGCGATCCTCCTGCCTCAGCCTCCCGAGTAGCTGGGACTACAGGCATGTCCCACCATGCCCAGCTAATTTTTTGTATATATATTTTTTAGTTGGTCAATTAATTTCTTTCTATTTTTAGTAGACTTGCTCAGGCTGGTTTCGAACTCCTGACCTCGAGCAATCTGCCTGCCTCGGCCTCCCAGAGTGCTAGGATTACAGGTGTGAGCCACCTCGCCCGGCCTGCAGTGCCCTGTTTCTTAACCTGAGTAGTATTTACATGTGGATTTAGGTGATTATTATTTAAATTATACACATTTAATATACTCTTCTGATAATATTTCCCAATTTAAAAAAATCCAATTCTGATTCCATGGCCCTGGCCTATTAATGCGCAGTTTCCTGGCGCCCCTTGTTAACATGGCAATTAATCTTCCCCACCTCGAGAGCCATATTCTCCTCATTCTACCTATAGCCAACCTAGAAATCTGCATGTTAACACCTTCCGAGGCTTTTTGGTGATTCTGTCACTTGAGAGCTGCTCCAAGTGACACATCTGTGTGTAAGGAGATCTGACACCACTGGGAGAAAAGAGAAGTAAAAGCAACCTCACTCTAGGCACATCTGCAGATTGCAACCTCCCCCTCACTCCCTTCTGCCCCCCCCAAAAAAAAACCCGTTAGTTCCTGTCATACAGAATTCTCGTATGTCACTCACATCTCTATACTTTTTCCATAATCTAAAAGTATGAGGTCCTGTAATGCAAACCACGCAAGGCGTTGAACATCTGGCCAGAGCATGAGCCTTGGAAAAATTGTGCCTCTCGGTATCCATGGTGTCTCAAGCAAAGCAAAACAGTGTGCAAGGGGTGGAATATGGAAAGCAATTGAACAGAGCCCCTTGTTAATAGGGTATAAAATGTCACCGAGAGCCTCTACCGTTTTATTGCATGACAGCAATAAGTGTCAGTGAGAGCCTTCCTGGGTTCTCTCATGACTTGGGGATCCCCAGCCCTTGCTCCCATAAAGTCTTAAATTGTAAATCCTGGTTTTGGAAGGAATACGGTAAAATCAATAAATACAGTGAAATTAGTCCATCAATACACTAGCCTTTGGTTCCAAGTCACTTTCCAAAGCCGGCCCCCTCCCATGCTCCAAGCCTGGCTTCCTGTTCACTGGATCCTGAAGCATCCAGCCAAGCCTGGGACCTCCTTTCTTGGTATTGGAAGCCAGCGTGATCTCCGACCATGAGAGGTGAGGGGCGGCTGCAGCTCTCATGCCCTCCACGCCGGCTCGCGGGGCTGCGCTGCCGTGAAAGCAAGTCTCAGGCCACAAGCACAAAACTTACCAGTGAGCAGGCATTAAAAGATCCATGCCACCAGCTCCTGAATTTCGGTGGAAGTGCCTGTTCACTCTCTTTGGAGGCACTTCCGTGGCAAATGTGAGGATGTGAGCACAGTAGGGTCAGATGAGAAAGAAGGGTCAGGCAGGAATGCTCTGCTGAGAGTGTGCGTGTGCGTGCGTGTGTGCATGTGTGCGTGTGTGCATGTGTGTGTGTGTGCATGTGTGTGTGTGCCTGCGCGTGCACGTGCGGTAAATGGGCGAGAGGGAAGAGTTGCAGGTCCTATAGGCATTCTAGACAAAGATGTCCCGAAGGTCTGACAAACCTGGGCTCACGCAATTCTTATGCCCCATTTTCATGGGGACAGAGGTACCTAAATCATGTTTCTGGCCAGTCACATATTTTGAACTTGACTCATTTCGCTAATGAAAAGGTATTTCTGAGATCCCTGTACTAATTATAGGGCAGTAGAGATCCATTTCCAGAAGGTTGTGATTACTTTGGCCAGCGTGAGGGCAGAGGGGCAGAAAAGGGAGGTGCCCTATAGCCGAAGCTCCTGCCTGGCCCCCTGGCCACCCCCCACCCAGGAAATCCCAGCACCCTCAAAGAAGGACGTGAAGAAGCCGGAGCTTCCTAAGGCAGCTGAGCCCCAGATGGGAGGCCCTGCCCTGTGGTAGTGGCGTGGTATTAGCACCAGCTGTGTTCTTTGCCATCCTACTAGCCCAAGGAGGCTGTGGAGGCCTGAAGCGTGCTCCAGGGTGTCACCCATTTCCCCAGGAAGCCAAGCTCACCTGGTGTGGGGGACCCATCATAGCTGCCACCATCTCCTCCCACTGGGTCTCCATGGGCCTCCGGGGCACCACCTTTCTGGTCTCATCCTTTTTTTTTTTTTTTTTTAAGACAGAGTCTCACTTTGTTGCCCAGGCTAGAGTGAGTGCCATGGCATCAGCCTAACTCACAGCAACCTCAATCTCCTGGGCTCAAGCGATCCTCCTGCCTCAGCCTCCCGAGTCGCTGGGACTACAGGCATGCGCCACCATGCCCGGCTAATTTTTTCTATATATATTTTTAGTTGGTTGATTAATTTCTTTCTATTTTTAGTAGAGACGGGGTCTCGCTCAGGCTGGTTTCGAACTCATGACCTCGAGCAATCCGCCCGCCTCGGCCTCCCAGAGTGCTAGGATTGCAGGCGTGAGCCACTGCGCCCGGCCAGGTCTCATCTTTGAAACCATAACAAGGCATGCAGGGACTGTGTAAGTCCCCTTGGAGACAGAAGGGGCCAGGCTGGTGGCAATTGTCTAGGTTTGTGGGCCATTAAAAACGGAAGTATATTTTACATTCTCACTGTCTAATATGGTAGCTACTGGCCACATATGGCTATTTAAGTTAAATTTTTACTAATTAAAACTAAATAAAATGTAAAATTCAGTGCCACTACATTGGCACATTTCGAGCGCTCCACAACTACGTGACGAGTGGCTCCCACATTGCGCCGTGCTGGTCTAGGCGATTTCCAATGGGCAGTGCTGGTTCAGATGCCTGCATTGAACAAAATAAGATGTTGTCGTCACCAGCAAATAAATGTTCAATGTAGTATAATCATGTCCTTAATAAGCTGATTTGAGCAGGCTTCTCAAATGTTAATGCGCACATGAATCACCCAGGGATGTTGTTAAAATGCAAATTCTCATTCAGCCGGTCTGGGGTAAGGCCCTCGATCCTGCAGTTCTAATAAGCTCACGTCATGCTGCCGCTGCTCCAGGGACCACCCGATGAGCAGGAAGGGGGTGTTAGCAGATTCACTAAAGTTCAGGATTGCCTGCCATCACCTTCTCAGCCTTGGCCACTGAGTGACCTCACTCAGATATGACGTTGTCTCAAGTCTGAAATTCAGTCCTGTCCTGAATGAGAGGCCCAGGCCAATGGCCCCTTTGCCGGGGGACAGCCTCACTGCCCTCTCCCACATTAGGGCTCTGGGAGTACCTAACTCGCTGGGGACTGAGAGGGCCTGTGGTGACAGCCGTCTGGGACAGCTCTGCTCAGGCGGATAACTGGCTGCCTTGTCCCAGCCTCCCCTTCCTTTCCTGTTTTCCAATGGAAAGACAGAAAAGCGTGTGTGATGTGGCTCAAAAAAGAGGGGGGGAAAAAAAGGAGGAAATTTAAAAAAGATAGAAAAACACAAAGTAGCCATATCCCCACCACCCCAATCACCACTGTTACAACAATCATGCACTGTTTCCAACGCTTTCCACGGGCATTGCTACCGTCTGACAATTTGTCGGCCCTCTCAATGACGGCCACCACTTAGTCTTCACGCCTCCCCCCTTGAGTTCAGGCTGGCCCTGTGACATGCTTTAACTACAGAATGTGGCAGAAGTGACAGTCTGCACCAGGTCCAGGCCTGGGCCTTGAGGAGGGCTGGCAGCTGGTGCTTTTGTCTTCTTGGAAGCCCAGAGCAGCCACCTGGCAAGTCTGGCTGGCGTGCGGGTAAGATCGTGTTGGGAGACCGCTCGGAGAAGCCCGTGGTGAGGGAGAGGGAGGCCGGGGACTAGGGAGAAAGACGTGGCTTCAGCTGCCCTGAGCGCAGCTATGTGGGACGACATCCCTGGAACGCTCAGCCGAAAGGGAAGAATTGGAAGCCGCCAAGATGGTGGTGGTTTTGAGCCATGACGTTTTGTGTTGGATCCTTAAGGAGCAACTGATTGTCAAATCCTAAGTGACACAGGTCATAGAATACCCCTGCGCTCTCCCCACCTGCCCCTTCTCTTCAGACTCCAGCCGCCCTCGGCAAGGAGAGGAAAGGATAAATTAGGGATAGTCAGGAGAAAGAGGGTGATATTTATTCATCTATTAATGAATATCTCATCTCAGTTCCATATAGAATATGAGGACTTTTACCAAAAATGCATATAATGTAACATGGTTTTCTTAAAGTTCTAGAAGGTGCTGGGGAGGGAAAATTTCCGTAAAGGTAGGAAGGTGGGCGCTGCCTGCCAGCTGAAGATCTGGGTGTCACCCGCTCTCCTCCTGTTCGCATGGGGGGTGGCACGAAAATATGGCCCCAGGAGCCCTTGTGACCTGGAAGGAGAAAGCAGCGTTTGGGCTGCCCAGGAAAGGGACACAGTGGGTCATCCTCACCCAGGCTCTGTCCCCTCCGGAAACCCAGCTGGAGAGGCTGTGTGGTCAGGTGAAAGGTGCAACTCTAGCCTTTGAGTGGCGGGACAGAGGAAGGCTCTGTTGGGGGGTCTAAGGGACTCGGAGATGGGGACACCAGGCTGTACAGGGCATGGCAGTCAGGCGCGGGGAAGAGCAGGAGGAAGGCCCAGGAGCGGGGACGCCAGCTTTCTGGCGCATCAAGTCCACGTGGGTCCTTTGCATCCGGTTTCCAAGCTGCAGCCTGGCTGAGCTGGTGCTGGGGACACTGCCACCCTCCAGATCCCTGATCACCGCTCCCGCTCCCGGGGGAGAGGACCTTGCTCCAGGGGACAAGGCAGCCCTAGACACAGGGGTGGGACAGGCTCCTCACCGCCGTGCCACGGCCACCTGCCGCGGCTCAGTGGACTTGAGGCTGGGTGTGAGGCTGTGGGGGTGGGGGGTTCTCTCCTTCCGTCCCTCAGCCCTAATCCCCTGCAGCTGTCGCCCTCCCCAGGGAAGACAGTTGTGGCGGAGTGGAGGGAAACAGTTATTTTGAGTTGCTCCCTGGCTTCCGACCCAGAAACCCGGACGGCCATGGTGGGGCCCGACCGGAGGCAGCCGGCACAGGCTGGGGGGATCGCGGCGTGCAGGGTGCCATCCTGGCCGTGATGGAGGCTACAGAGGAGAGAGATGGCCAGGGGGGAGACAGGCCAGGGCTGAGGGATGCAGAATTGGAGTTGGTGTCCTGCGGGTGGCCTGGCTTAGCCGGGTAAGGGGGACACCTCCCCCACACTGGCCCTGCACCTCCGGCAACAGTGGAGAAGGAAAGGGGTCCCTGTGACCGAGGCTGCTGTCAGAGGGGCGGTGTCTCTCGTTGTAAGGGGTTGGCTGGGCCACTGGGGTGACAGTCCCTCTCTTGCAGGCAGGCCCTGCCTAGCACCTCCTTCCGGGCAGACTCAGTGGAGACCTTACACGTCCGATGGCGTCTGCCCTGCCTGCCAGTGGGGCCTCTGTAGGGCAGTGACCCTCTGGGCCTGGACAAGGCAAGTGGCCTAGTGGTTAAGCCCTTCCATTAGGGCATGATGACTTGGACTTGAACCCTGGCTCTACAGCCTCAGGACAGAACATCCACCTCCCTGGTCTTCCTATTTCACAGGAATGTGAGCCGTAACAGCAGCACGCTCCTCCCAGGGGTGGTGGGGACTCACGAGAGAATGAATGTCACGTGCACAGGGCAGGACTCAGTAGCTGTCATTGTTTCATTGTCCTCAGGGGGGGTCCCTGAAGTTGGCATCTCCCGTGGGCCACCGACTGTCTCTGCCTGCAAAGAGGGCGCCAGGAGGGATTTTGTGGCGAGGAGAGGAGAAATGAAGAAATCTTCACCAGGAAGGCAGGCTCGGGCTTCCAAAAACGTGGGGAGGAAAGAGAGGAACCACCGGCCTGTCCACCCCGAGAGGGCAGGGCCACGTCGGTTTCTTCCCTGCGGTACCCCAGGTTCTAGCAGGGTGTCCGGCACAGGGGAGGCGCGTGGAGAGAATTTGTTGAATGAAAGAATGAGCAAAGGCGGGCCCGGTGGCTCACGCCTGTAATCCTAGCTCTCTGGGAGGCCGAGGCGGGCAGATCGCTCAAGATCAGGAGTTCAAAACCAGCCTGAGCAAGAGCGAGACCCTGTCTCTACTATAAATAGAAAGAAATTAATTGGCCAACTAATATATAGAGAAAAAATTAGCCGGTCATGGTGGCACATGCCTGTAGTCCCAGCTACTCGGGAGGCTGAGGCAGGAGGATTGCTTGAGCCCAGGAGTTTGAGGTTGCTGTGAGCTAGGCTGACACCACGGCACTCACTCTAGCCTGGACAACAGAGTGAGACTCTGAAAGAAAAGAAAAGAAAAGAAGTGAATTTTTGAGCGAACCATTGGCTCCCTGGGGTGTGACCTGCCCTGGTTCCCTGGCTGATAAACTCCTGGGCTGGTCAGTGCCCAGGACACGGCCGTGGGGTTCCTCTCTCTGGAATTTGAACAGGGCAATAGCGAAGGGGTTAGCAGCAGTGAGAAACGGGAGGGTTGAGTCAGCCCTGCCAAGGGGGCGGTGACGGTGCGGGCGAGGGTGGCAGTTCCTGCCTCTCCCAGGCACCCTTCCACCCCCCAGCTGCCTGGAGTGGCAGGAGGAGGGGAGTGATCCCTGGAGCCCGCCCCTCTCCAGAGACCCTCCCCTTCACAGGCCCCCTCACTGAGCAAGCAGTGAGCCCCTGCTGTGTACCAGCAGTAGTGCTGGCAGCTGGGGCTGAGCCCAGGCCCCTAAGGAGCGGCCCTCTTGGCGGGTGGGAGTCCAGAGAGGGCCTCAAACCCGCCTTCAGGACGGGAGGGGAGGGAGTGCTCCTCGAAGGAAACCATGTCTACTGTCCGCAGAGAGCTGGGGACAGGCACAGTTGACCAGGGAAAGAAGGGGGAAACGACTCCCAGGCAAAGGCAGAGCCGCAGGGCGCAAAGGCAGCCGGGCCAGTGAGAGGGACCTGCAGGAAGTTCCGTGAGGCTGGAGCAGGGGTGGGGTGAGGGGCAGTGAGCGATGCAGCAAGGGGCAGCACTGGACGGGGTCCCAAGCCAGGGTCAGAGCCTGCCTGTGCCAGGGGGACAGCTGCACTCGAGTGAGTGACTTGTCTGCAGAGCGGAGCCAAGGGCCGGGCCTTGGCCCCAGCCCCAGCTCTCCCACTACGGGCCTTGTGACCGGCACTGTCCCATCTGCACATGGAGGGGCCGCGGGCTGCTTGCCAAGGCCCTGTCCTTGGCTCAGAGGGGCCCTTGGGGCACTGTGGGCGGGTGGGGGAGGGGCCGCGGGATGGTGAGGGGCGTGCCAGGTAGTCTGAGGGGAGGGGTAGGCAGCCCCAAAGGGGACCCATTTCCCAGGGGCCAGCAAGGGGCTGCCAGCATCATTCTGGCTCATTCCACAGGGCTCCTGGCCCAGCTGCTCTGCCCTAGGAGACCCTCTCACCCAAGGAGGAGGCCCTGGGCCTCCCACCCCTGCACCCGCTCCCCGCCACACCCCGCCTGGCTTTTCAGGGGAGGCTGATGCAGGGCCGTGGTGGGACAGAGCCCTTCTCTGGCTCACTTCCTGCCCATCAGGCCCTGGCAGAGGGGTGGGGTGGCGTTTACATCTGCGGCTCTGCGGTTCAGGTCCTGGAGCCCTTTCCTGCCCACGCTCACCTGTTCCTCACAGAAGCACCAGCCGGGCAGGTGACAGTGCCCTGTTGTAGAGTCGGAGGCTTGCCTGACAGCACCCAGCGGGGCGGCGGCAGACCCGCACAGCAAAGCGTTGCTGGCTGGGCGCCGCTGGGGGGCCTGGCACTGGCATCCTTCCAACACGAAAGAGAGGGATCAGGCGGTCTCGAAATCCAGAGCTGCCTCTGAAGGCCTCAGGAACATGCCGGAAGGGCCAAGCCCTTCTCTCCTTGGAGCCCAGCCAGGCAGGGGCGTGGTGTGTAGGTGGCCGTCACCAGGGAGGTAGGAAGCAGCATGCGGGTGAAAGGCGAGTTCTGGGAGCCAGTTCTACCTCTGTCTCACTGTGCAACTTAGGCGACGGCCCTCAGTGCCCAGAGCCCTCGTCTGTGATGGAACCATGTGTCTCTCTCAGGGCGGGAGAAAGGATGAATTACATGACAGGATCTATTCGTTCCTCCAAACAAATACCGTCGGCGCCTACTGGATGTCAGGCTCTGGGACATGAAATAAACGAATGTTCGGTCCCACCCTGAGCTTATGTTCTAGACGGGGACAAGTACATGGTAGGGTAGAAGGAGACAAGGGTGAAGGGACAGAGCGGGAGAGGGGCCCGCTGGGGAGTGGCCTGAGCAACTCAGACGTCTCAGGAGGAAGAGCATTCTAGGAGGAAGGAACAGCATTTGCAAAGTCCCTGGGGAGGGCATGTGCCAAGTGACTCAAGAACGCCACTGTCACACGCTGCGATTCGAGTGTGTCCTCTCTCATTTCCTGCCATCAGATGGCTCCTTCCTCAGGTCCTTGGGCCCAGAGGCCTCCCCCATTGTGACCTGTGACCCCACGGGACAGAGCCCTGAGCTCTTGGCAGCCACCAGGGCCCTGTGTGCCCTGGCCAGTCTCGGGAGCACCACAAAGGGCCCTTTCACCACAGGGCATTGTGGGGGCCGGGAGGGGACACAGTGCCCTTCGCCTGTGGGCATAAAGACCCCTTTCTCTTCTGCCGCAGCGGCTCTCACGACTGGCAGCAGGGAGGGCGGGGTACAGGGACATTCTGGGGCCAGGCCAGACAGTGGCGGGGAAGGACAGTCTGCAGGGCCTCGGGGTCCCATCCCCCAACAAAGAACCTGACAGCAGTGGGTGTGGGGGTGCCTGCCTGGGACCCCAGGGTGGAGGCACGACTCACCCTGCAGAGTGAAGGGGTGGGCTTGTCATTGCAGAGAACTGTCAGCTCTGCCATTCTGGGGTTCCGCACCACTAGCCTCGCCCCCCTCCGTGAGGAACCCCTCCTGCTAGCCTGTGCCTGGATCTCTTACCCCCAAGCCAGGTGAGGTCCCCTACACTGTGGCAGTGGCATTCAGTGCTGGACAGAGACCTGCCTTAGAGGGAGGCAGGCAGGAAGCAGGGAGCACAGAGCGGCCACCAGACGCTGGGGGGGAGAGTCCTGGTCCGGAAGTGACATGGAGGAAGGCCAAGTTGCCTGGGAGAGAGTGTGTGCAGGTGGCCCTGTGGGCAGGGCAGGGGCAGGCCTGGCTCTCCAGGTGGGGGATGGGCGGCTGCAAAGCTGGAGTGGGGGTGGGGAGGTGCTGGGCCCGCAGCAAGTCTGGGAACAGAGCAGGGCCTTCATCCAGAATGCCCTCGCCCACCTGGGCCGCAGGAGGACGCTGTGGGGGAAGATGGGAGACTGGGGCCAGGAGGCTGGAGCTGGGCCAAGGCAAGAACAGGGCCAGCGGCATCCTGGGGAGGGTGAGGAGGTGGGTGGCCTGGCCAGGGACAGCCCCAGGGCTGAGTAACTGCACCAGCTTGGGACACACCCTGGGCTCTGATTTGGGCTAAGCAGGGGGCTCCTCTGGGAGCCCCGGGGGAGGAGCTGGTGGGACAGACTGGGAATGCTGCAGGACAGCTGGACATGAGGCTGGGAGTGCCTGGAGCCTGGGGAGATGGGGAGGGAGGGGGAGGGGGTAGAGGGGAGAGAGAAGGAGAGGATGGTGGCAAGGAAAGGGGACAAAGAGAGCGAGGAGAGATGGTGTCCCCCAGAGCAGGAGGCAGAGCCCTGGCCCCTCCGCACCATGTCCCCCGGGCCGAGTGAGGCTGGGCTGCTGCCGTCTGTTTTCCAAGCCACGGCCAGGGCATCTGGTGGGACACGAGCAGGAACTTCTTTAAATAGCTGAGAGGGCCCACCAGGGAAGGGCCCGCACTTAGGAGCCCTGGCCTTCCCCAGGCAGGGGACCGGCCACCATGACCCCTCCAAAGGCTGGAACTGCACTGTGTTTCTCTGGGTTGACAGCACCCAATATGGACCTACTCTCTGCCTCAGTTTCCCTCTGTAAGGCAGAGTTGTGGCTAGTGGACTGGGTTGGATGGCGGGGCAGGATGGGGAAGTCACCGCGTGCCCATGCCCAGGTGGACCTTGGGCCTCCTCCTCCACACGCCCGGCCTTTGTTTGAGGAAAGCAGGAAAGGCGGCCGGAGGGGCGGGGTGGGGAGGGTGGGAGCACGCTGAGTGTTTCCAGGGAAAAACTGGTCCTACCATGGAACAGGCAGCGCTGCCTCCCAGCCTCGCCCATCCTTCCCCGCCCACCGCCGCCTCCATTTATTCTGCCCTCACTTTCTGGCAGAAGGGGCCTGGCAGCTGGGAGACCCTGCTCTGCTCCCAACACCCACCCGTTAGCACCCAGGGGGCCTGCCGGCAGGGCAGGGTACATGAGTGTGCATGTGCGTGTGAGTGTGCGTGAGTATGGGCGTGTTAGTGACAGTGTGTGCACGCGCATGCATGCATGGCTGCAGCTAATGGCGCCCAGGTGCCACTGAGAACATGGAGAGAGCCTGGCCATCGTCACCTGTCACCACGCGGGTGGGAGAGACGCAAGGTGCATCAGGGAAAGAAACAGGCCTGAGGCAATACCTGGAGCCTCGGTTTTGTCATCTGGAAGTGAGGGTGGCACTTGCCCTGCTGCCCTAGTGCTGATGTGTCACAGAGGAGCCCAGGTGGGAAGGGCAGGAACATGTCCCTGAGCCCTCTGGCTACTGGCTGCTCTCAGACCTTGAGACAGGTGCTGTCATTGTCCCCGTACCCACATGGATGCTCGAGGATGTGAAGTGGCCCATGGCTGGCAAGTGGTGACCTGAGACCAGAACCGGGTCTGGCTGATTTCAGAGTTACTGACAAGGCCTCAGGGCACCTCCCAACTCTGCTGCTCCTCGGGTCATTGATTCATTACGTTTGCCCACTTTAGCTCTGGAATTAATACACCTAAATTGGAATTCTGGTTCTGCCACGTACCTGTGACCTTGAGCAAGTACCACTACCTCTTAGAACCTCAGTTTCTTCATTTGGAAAACAGGCACTTACCCATTCACTCACATGCACCCAATCACCCATCCACCCACCCACTAATCCACCCACGCCCCATTCACCCATCCATCCATTCACCCGTCCATTGGTGCCATACTGAGTATCAGGGCCTGGCACAGGTGGGGGAGGGGGTAAATGGGCTCATGAAGAATAGATCTGTTATGATTTCAGTCCCTGTCTCCATGATGAACCATATTTCTGAATTTTATAGACCTCGACGTCACACGAGCACAGGGACTACCAAAGGCAACGCCAATACCCCGTATTCACCCGGGGCGGGTGGCCTCAGCCGCGGTCACCATCCGAGCCCGTAACAGCCCACTCGCGCCACACTGAGCGTATCAGAGGGCTGTTGGGACATTGCTGCTGCCACCTGACCCAGGCCTGGTGAGCCAGCACGGCCACCGCCAGGCAGGGGGGCCGGCCTCACCGCCACGCGCTGTCATAGCAGCAGATCTACCTGCCCTTGTGATGTGTGGTTGTAAAACTGGTGACCCAAAAAAGCCTCCTTTTAGAAAGACTATTTTGAAGCTTCTAGCACTGAGGCTCCTGCAGAAACTGTCTTCTATCTTGTAACCCCTAAAGCTGTCACTAGGGTGGGGACTGGAGCCGAGAGGCCGCTTGGCTGGGCCAGTCTGGGGAGGCTTCCAGGAGAAGGTGGGGTTCGGTTCGGGAGCTGCACGCCTGCCCAGAGGTGACTTGTGTAGGGATGATGTCCAAGGCAGAGAGGGGAGTGGACGTTGGGCAGGGCCAGAGAGAGGTCCAGAACATCTGCCCAGAGGCGTGTGGCCTTTCCAGAGCCTGCTTGACACCCAGCCAGCAGGTGGCCAACACGACCGAGGGGAGGGAGGCTGGGACACAGCCACAGGAAGGTGAGGCCCCAGGGCCTGGGCACCCGGCCTGCCGGGAAGGTACGGGGTGGTGTCCCCGCCAGCCGCGGAGTCAGCCTGTGCCAGTCCTGAAGCTGCTGCCCGCCCTGCGCTAGCGTAGTCTGGCGGGTGCTCACTGCGTGTCCCCTGGTGCCCAGTGTGAGCGCTGCGGACGCCGTGCCTGCCCGGGGAGCTCACCCATGGCGGGGCGTGGACACTCCAGGATGGCACCCTCTTCCCTCAGCTGCTGCAGCGTTGGCTGCCACCAGCTCACACCTGTCGGCAGGGCTGCCCTTGGCTGATGGGAGCCGCATTAGCTGGACCTGCCTGGGGGGTCGTGACCAATGACCGAGGACGTGGGGTAGAGTGGCCCCACCCCCTTGTCTCTGGATGCCACAACTTCTCTGGCACCACTGGCACCCCAGAGCTCCTGTGGGGTGAGGCTGGGCAACATCTGTACTCAGCCCGGCCCTGTCCTGTTTCTCCCACTTTCTCACAGCTTTCTTGAGATTCTCAACAAACCACTTGCGTGGGAATGCCCATCTCTAGCTTTGCTTCTGGGGAGCTTGACCTCAGATAGTCACAAACCTGGTGACCTCTCCTACAGAATGACATCAGGGCTCGGTGGGGATGTGGCCCAGTCTTGTGGGCACCTCCCAGAAGAGGTGACATTTGAATTAGGATCTTGAAGGTTGAGTAAGAACTGCTCGGCTGAACCGTGTCTGCTGCGTTTGATAAACCTTGCCTGCTGTTGGCCCTCAGGATGGGAGGAAGGACATATTAGGAAGAGGAGCAGCATGCGCAAAGGCCCTGAGGCACAAACAGGCAGGGCGTGTTCAAGAGAGCAGGACAGAGAAGGGAGATGAGCAGAATG